ACTAGAGGGAAGGCAGTTAGTCACCCCCACCCACCGCCAACTCTTGGGCTACTCTTTTACCAACGAATAGTGGGATTGACCGTCACATTATAACGCCCCCACGGCTGAAAGGGCGAGCATGTTTGGTGTGACGGGGAATCCGAACCCGCGACCCTCAGATTGGGAGTCGAGCGCCCTAACCACCTGGCCATGCCGGGCCCTCTCTTTTCATTTAATTCTTTTGTGATATTTTGATCATATATATATATTCTTATATCGTTATTACAATATAATTACACATTTCTGTTTTTAAGAGTTAATTTATAATGTTAGTTTTCGAGGTCCCACCGCAACATGCCGAGGAGTGCTACTCCGCAGAGATTTGTAAACCATTACAAAAAATGTAATTCTCAATTGTATTGTCAATAAAAAATATAAAAATGTGTAACATATTATGCTTAAATAAACAAAACTTTGAAAAATAACTCATAGCTTTTTGAGTAAGAAGTTCAAATTGCATAGCACATTCAACATGGCGTCTGAGTTAGATTATCTGATGAAAGAATACTCTCTACCATGCCAAATATGCTTCTCCAACTCATTACTGGGACATAACTCAAAATTATCTTCAAGGTCACACTGCGTACTTGTTTTCCAGCGCAAAGCTCCACAATGAGCTATCTGTAGTCTGCCTTCGGGGGTATCAAAACTCGAGTTAAGGTCATACTTAATGTATCTTATGATTAGACTGTTATTTTGTTGTACTAAATATTTTTAGTCGCAAAATATTTAAGCTTAAATCTCAAAAATGCGAAACTTTTTGCTTCCAGGAAATAAGTAATTTTACAAACATAAGCCACTGGTATATTCAAAATAAAACTTCAAGCACTCATTAATCTTGTAAGTCAACAATGATTACCGTTATATAAATTCAACAATGAGAAGCCCACTAAATTTAAGGCTATAATATCACAAACAGAAGTTAGTTTTGACTATCACAGTCTAAGTTTAATTGTACGTAACTAGTAAGTATAGCTGGAGTGTTAGGCCTAGAGCAATTTTTTTCCTTTCTTTTAAGTTACAAAAGGTTATGAAGTCTCAATACATTTTAAAGAGCTTGAAAATGATAATTCATTTTTGTTTTTAATAATCTTTTAAGTTAGCGAGATCGAATGATTCGATAATTATAAGAAACACACAACTAATTTTTTTAAATTGAGTTTATTGCTCTCTTGGAATAAACAGGAACAAAGATGATGATGATTTAAGGGCTGAAAATTTAGATAATTTTCCAAAATAAACAAAACAGCTTTCAAAAGCAAAGCTTGCAGATTATTTCTGTTTGTTTGTAATTAAGCATAAAGCTACACAATGGGCTATCTGTGCTTTGCCCACCACGGGTATCGAAACCCACTGGGGCGATTATTTCTGAACTGTAAAAGAAATATTCACAAAAAAAGAACATATAGTTATATAATGTTATGTAATTTCTTTATGAACTGTTTTATTATACGAGATTTCTAAATGATATAGCGCATTTCTTTGAACAGTACACTAGCTTGGTTTTTCTATTAAATCACTACACTCTTAAAGAAATAAAGCAGAGGTATGAGATAAAATACACCTTATAGACATTACATTTATTCTCCCCTAACTACAAATAAACTATGTAGTTTTATGTTTGAATGTGATAATTAAAAACAACAACAACTTCAAAACATTCACCTCGATCTGTTTGATTTTTGATTCTGGTAGACGTCACGCACTTTTAATTTCTTTAGCTATCTAAATTATTTTCTTTTTTAACCAAATATATGTTGAAAATTAGATTGACATAAAAAATACCATCTTTACTTTGAGAAGATTATTAAACATCTTGGCATTAAATACTGCACGCTCTTTCTTAATCATGTAAGAATAAAAGTTAAATCTGATTGACCTATATACATATTATTATTGAATTAACGATATACAGAGGAAATTTATTTTCATATCATTTGTCGCACGTATAAGTGAACTAACACCTGTGTTGCATACCCAGTAAAAGATATATTCGTCAGAACCAAATGACTGCTTTCGACTTTATTAAAGGACGCACAACTCTCGAAACGCTCGCTTATTCTAGATTTATCACAATGTTAAAGTCAAAGTATATGGTTCTATTTTTTTCCTTTAATTTTCTGTTATACATTGGAAAATCCACATGTACAAGGAATGCCCCAGGTCGAACATAACAGCCTGTACTGACACTACAAAATCTAGGCCACAACAACAACGACTATGGTTGCCACAGTTGAAAAATCGATTAAAACTATGATTTGCTCTGACATCAGCTTTTACTAGCGGTGCTACAGTAGCTCGCCTTAGCAAATCCCCCTGGCATGCTTAAGGCAAGTTTGGGGATTTCACGTAAGATTCGTTTAATTGAACATGTCATTTTGCTCACCGACAGAAGGTAAATCTAATTGGTTAATGCTCGTGGACACGTACAGTACTTGTATACAGTTATTGAAATCAACAAATATCACCTGAAGTTTTTACAGTACCAACCCATTCGGCGAGGTATTGTATTAAATAATAAGGTACACAAAATATAATGTTATATAGAAATACGTATGTATACACAGTGAGCTTTATAAAAAACATATATTTTCTTACTTAACTTAAAGACATTACATAAGTTTAAGAGTTATTATTTTATGATAATATTTTTATTAGATAACGTTGTATACGATTTTTCATAAACAGTGTATTATTATTAAATATGAGCAAAGAATAGTTGGAATTTCTGTAAAATTCCTATTCAAACCTTTTTTACCGTGACAGAAAACACCTTTCTTTAATTACAGACAAAAATATTAAATGTTCGCATTACCTAATAGTTAAAAACTTTCTAGCAACTACACGTAAAAATCAGTTTCTCTTTACGTAAAACACATGTACAGTATTATATACCTATTGCAGTTAGCTTTGATTCTGTCACTTCTTTTCGTCACAATACTAATGTAGACAAATCAGTGTAGTACTTTTGACAGCTGTAACATGGATTAGATAGGTTTATTCAACAAAAGCTAGAATATTAATAGCTTTGTTGTATAATTAATGTAATTAAAATTGCTCTAACTGAGTAACACACAGCAAAAACAATACTGAAAAAAGATACCATTCTCGTTAACTCTAAGAACACTTTTCACTTGGAATTTCGTTAAATATTAAAAAAGGGTATGCTGAGAAATATCAAAAGGTTCCACTTTAAAATGTATGCTAAAATCGTGAAAATATAAGCTGATATGTGCTATGGCGAGAAAATACCCGATTATAACTTTGCACTTTCGCAGATGCGTGGCAATTAATATTAACCTAATTAATAAATCAAGTTCAAAGTAACCTGGCCCGGCATGGCCAGATGGATAAGGCGCTCGACTCACAATCTGAAGGTCGCGGGTTCGAATCCGCATCCCACCAAACATGCTCACCC